CGATTCTAACACAATGATATTCGCTCTTTTCTCGCAGCACTTTAGAACGCTTTCTAAAAACTCTAAGAACTCTAGAAATTCTTTAGAAGGGCTCTAGGAGAGTATTTTGAGAATTGTACAGTAGGAGAAGTTGTAGAATTGTGTGAAAACAGTGAGAAGGTCCCTCCCTTTTATAGGAATCCACATCTATCAAGTTAGGACCGCTGTCTCATCTGACAAGGTCGGGACCGCCGTCTCGCCAAACGAGACGGCGGTCTCTCCTTCGGCAAGTGGCGAGTGGCGAGATGACGGTCTCGCCCTTAGCCAATGGCGAGATGACGGTCTCAACCCTTTGGATGAAATTTCTTATTTTTTGTGTACAAAAATCCTTCCTTTTCTAATATGGGGCCTATTAATCAATCCTAGGGACCTTTTAGGCCTTACCCATCTTCGAACGGAAGTCTTCTGCTCTTTATTTTGAGGTCGGCCAAGATTTGGGATCTACAATGTGCATTTGGTTGTAACTTGAATAAGCATCCAAGAAACTAAGTATCCTATGGTTGGTCGATGTTAGGTAATGAATGTGTCTCTTTTGGACTAGTAATGATAAATTATATATTGGTGCATAAATGATAAATTAAAGAAGAAAAAGATGTTTTAATTTAAGGGATTTGCTTAGTGCAATGATATTTCCATCAGTGAATTATATTCATAGAAAGCTCATCCCTAATTTTTGTCAATTTGCTTAGCGAAAGTCAATTCTTTTGAGCAAAAGTATCAAATTTTGACCAACTAACTTAACTGACCTTTCACTCAACAAAACACAAAATCGCTCAACATGAAGCTGCAAAACTCATTTTAGCAAAATTATTGAATCATGCTTCAATTGATCCAATTTATTTATTTTGGGTTGTGTGAATTTCAATTGTGTTTGTTGTCATATATAAAGGCTTGGGAAAGCCAAAATACAAAAGTTATCTTTTATTTTTACACTTTGTATATCTAGAATTCAAATTTCTCTTTAGTTTTCTCTCATGTTCTAAGAGTAAAGTTTGCAACTTTCTCTTCTAATGCACTTGTAGTTCAATAATTTAAGATGTTTTAAATCATATTCTTTCATTTCCTTTATTGTATTCATTTACTTTCTATAGTTTATATTTCCTTTATTATTTTTCCGACATTTTACTTGCTTTATTGTTTCTATAATTTAATTTTTAGTCATGTGTTTCTAATCTTCTTAGTCAATTTCTAGGTTTATGTGATTTCTTATCTTAGAAATTGAATTGTGTGTTTAGGTCAATCGAATATTATGAATAAATTTGATTTAGTTAATTGGATTAAGAATGTTTAGAATTTCTATAGATATATTTTGTGGTTTCATTTAGGTCTAGAAATCAATGACATTCAAAGGAACAAATGATGATTAAATAATCAACTATTACATTTCATAGCTTTCTCAAATTACTGCATATTTATTGTATTTTTTTCTTTTATAGTTTTTAATGCTTTGTTTACTGCATAATTAGTGTTAGATTTAAATTTTTTTTATTATAATTTAGGTTTATTACTTTCTTTTACTATTTTCAAATACAAAATTCATAGAATCCACCTTTTTAAACTATTTACTAGTGAGAATTAAGTTTATTACACTTTATTAATGTTGTTCGAGAATATGGTCTATGTTCTCCCTTAGTTACTGTATATTTCTCTTGTATTGCATTATTTGATCATATTTAAGCAACAAAATATGCTATGATTAACAAGTTTTGTGTAGACTAATAAGGTGTGTTCACGTATGCCATTTGTTCATTTTTTTTTTCACTAGTACCACATTAGCTAACCATGTGGTGTATACCTGCTTCTAAAAGTTTGTGGATCTTTTCTTGTGCAACTCATCTTCTTTCTTCACCTAGTTTTCATTTCTTCTAAGATATAGGCCATGCCTCATAACATATTGACAATTTGGTGAGATGATCTATGGGTAGATATAGCTGACCTATTGTAGTTCATGCAAACAAATTTGATTTATTTGCTAACACTTCTCTTATGATTTTATCATCATTAACAAGTAGCATTGAACTCATCCTAGTGTTTTGTCCTTCTACACCCTATTGAAAAGGGGTTATCTCTTCTCATAGTTCTACTCGAATACTATCATTAATCCTAAGATCCAAGTTTATCATGGCCTTATTATCTTGGGGGGGGGGTTAATACTAATCAAACCAAGGGCATTTAGGAAAGATCTCCTATGGAGGATGTAATATAAAGTGTAGCGTCAATGATAGGGTACCTTGAATTGCACTCTATCCATAAGAATATAGTATACATTCTTTAATATATGATTAGATATCCTTCTAATTTATCAAATGAATATTCTACTAAAACATATGTTACTTGTAGATTTCAAAGTTTCAAAGTGTGTGGGAAAATTTGGGAATTGCTAAAGACCATTTACCAACTCAATCATGTAGAATAGATTTGGATATTAAAATTTTTACTATATTATTTCTTTAAAAAGTAGTTACATCATCATATTTCACATAATATTTAAATTTATAGCAAGAATAATATGTACAAAGACGTAACTTCTCAGTTGTACAACATTAAGTGTCAATTTTTTTAATATTAGATTCAAGTAATAAATAGTACATTTTACTTCACTCAAGTCTCTTTTATCAACATATTTGTTATTGTTAAGGTTCCAACATAAAACCAATTGACAATATGTAGAGTAGCCTAACATGTATTTAAACCATACCAAATAATATAAGGTAGGTGATGTGGGACTTTCAACACGCCCCCTTCAACGAAGTCTGCCGAACCAGACAAAGGGTACTTTTGACCCAACTAAAGGGCAACTTTTAGCCCATGACAATAACCGGAAAGATGTAGGCTTTGGTTCTGATATTATGTTAAGGTTCCAACATAAAACCAATTGACAATATGTGGAGTAACCTAACATGTATTTAAATCATACCAAATGATATGAGGTAGGTGATGTGAGACGTTCAACAGATATTATATTCTCTAATGCTCAAATCATACCAAATGATATGAGGTAGGTGATGTGAGACTTTCAACAGTTATTATATTCTCTAATGCTCAAATATAAAGTATCATTCTTTTTTAATAGGCACAATTACTAAAAGGTTTCTAAAATCATGCTTTATCTTTTCAAAAGGTTCTTAATATACTTCTTCCTACTTGAAATCGATATCTTTTCTCTCTCTCTCTCGATATCTTTTCTCTCTCTCTCTCTCTCTCTCTCTCATATATATATATATATATATATATATATATATATATATATATATATATATATAATTTTCCAATACAGAGTTGTAATTGCCTCAATTTTCAAATAGAAGAAATCACATTAATAGTTTATGTTTTGTTTTTTATCCTATACTTCAAAACATTTCAATGGATTCATTTTCAATCCATATTTTCTCATCCTCTAAAAGGAAATTCTTAACTTATGCAAGCGTTATTTTTTTTTTCAAATATTTTACAATATTATCATTATATACTTACATAAATCTTGAATTAAATCATAAAAAATTAGATTCACTACTCGTAACTTCAACATTTTTTAATAAAAAAGACATAACCAATCATTTATAAATCCTAATGCCCAAGTTTTAAAATGTTTTCAAAATTTCTTTTAGCATTATAAATTTGATTATGATCAAAACAATAGTCTAAAAACTTAAGATCTCATTTTCCACTATGGATTAAAAAATATTCATTATAAACATTGGATATCCATCCTTTTAAGTGATCGAATTTAAATCTTTAAAATTAATACAAACCCTCGTTTTATTATTTTTCTTTATTATTGGAACCATCAACGTATCATTGGATTCATTTATCCTTTAACAATTTCTCAATTTCTTTTATTTTTTTTACTACTTTAGTTTGTAAATCCAGCTTTATATCTTTTGTGAGGAAATAGGTGTTGATTAGCAAAATTTTATTTCAAATGGAGGGGCTTGTACTGGATTTGATATGGTCTATGGTCCAACAAAATAATAATAGAGAACGTTATGCTCTTTACTTACTTCTTATATGCACTATATATCCATAATGTTCATTTTGTGTTAATGCAGTTTTTTTTAATAGAAGTTTAACATGTGTGTTGGTGGAGTTAATATGAATAATTTTTTATCAAAGGAAGTAACTAGTGTTAAAAATTATTTATAATAAAGAAGTACAAGAACATGATGGAAGCAAAAATAATATTGAAAGAATATGTCATCTAATTGTCTATGTTGAGAAGTTTGTCGTCCTATCCATAGTACTATTGTTGCATTTGTTATTATAGTATGATAAATCTTCTTATGAATTGAAGAGGTTATGGACCTCTAAAATATTCTGTAACTTTTATATTTTTTTTATAATTTTTATCCTTCCAAACTTAGTGATAATTAAATATATTTATTTATATGTTTATAATTTTATTCTCTCATTTTTTTATTTTTTTTTATTTATATATTTACTAATAATATATTATTTAATTCTTAAAATCAACAGTGAAAATCCATATACCACTACTAAATTATATCTAGATAATATTGTTGTATTTATTTTTATTAGTTAATGTTTGTTTATGTGAATATCCGTAAAATCTTCTCTTAACAAATAAAAAAATGTATATCAAAATAGAATTTATTTATCTTGACTTGATAGAGATTAAGATCAAATGGACCGAACTTTTACATAATTATTTATAATGGAAAAAAATATATAGGTATACATATTTTTTTTTTAAAGTAGGTGTTTGGGGTGTAAAATAGTAATTCTATGTGCAAAGCAATTGGGTTCTTTCTATAAGAAAGTAATGTTTTAATAACAAAACATAGAGAACAATCACACTATAGCTCCGCTAGTTTAACGTGAGACACGACATCAAAGCAATAAACTAAATTACCACAAACTAAATATTTTTCCCGCTCTCATACACATTTTACCAAACAAAAAAAGAAACTTATTCTTTGACAATCACTTAATCTCATTGAAACTTAATTATCCTCAAGCAGAAAACCATTCAACTTGAGCTCAGATTTAATCTTCTCCATTTCATCTTCTGGCAAAATCATAGTCACAAACTTCGCATCAACACCATTCTTGATAGAACCATGTGACGATGGATACACCAAAATAGCCCCTTCATCTCCAACCCCTTGAATGGTGTAGTAAACAAATGTTGGTGAGTGTCCCTTCAATTCCAAGTCATACAAATTGGTTTCTTCTAAGTCTACAAATGTCAAATTGGCACCATACAAAAAGAAATCACTCACACCTTCGTCTCTCTCAATTGCTTCCTCAATTTGCTTCCTCTCATCAACACCTTCATCCCTAAGCATGCTTGCCAAAACACTCAAATCCATGTCAATAATACAACATTCACTTCCAACCTCAACTTTGGATATCACTTGGTTGTTACCAATTATGTCATTGTCCTTCTTACTCGGGTCGAGTCGGCACACGGTAACAGTTTTAGGTTCGGGTCCTGCTCGAAATTGAGCCACACAACGCCAGATCATGGCACATAGGGATTCAAAAGGGGGGGTTTGGTCAAGACTTGGACCCCAAATTTGTGCTTGCAAGTAGTTCAATTGGGAGGTTGTTAGGTGGAAGGAGAATGTGTCCATTTTCTTGTTGTTGGGTGGGATCCAATGATCACCCACCGGGTCGATTCGTTTTGCTGAAATTGGATCCTTTTCGGGTCCAGATTGTATGGGTTTTGGGACGGATCTTGGGATGTTGGAAAGCATTTTCGGGCCCAAATTATTCATTACTTGGCCCCATGAGTTTATGAATTCTGTAGCTGCAAGTGGGTCCCCCAATACATGGGCCCAACTAAGACCCAATGAAATTCCACCGCACTTAAATGTAGTTACCTGCATATTAACCAAACAGAAATTGAGTCATCTGCAAAAGCAAAGTTCTACATTTTTCATAGAAAAGTATTTGAAGTCTTATTTTCACCACATTTATTTTTCAAATCTATAAACAAATTATTTTTCACCACATTCAGCTTTTGTTACAAAAAAAAAAACAATTGAATTTTTTTTTGAAAAATATATTCTCTCTTTTATTGTTTAATATTATTTAAATATTAACCTTTTTATATTTTTATAAAATATTCCCTGTGTATGAAATTCATATTAAACATTTTTGTTCTTATTCAACTCTCCTAAAAGAGTACTAGGAATTTCCCTTTTTTTTTTTTTGAAAGAGTAGTACAACGTAGGAGTCTGTAAGATATTTTCGACCATTAATGAAATCCAAAGTAACACATGCGATTGTTATGGGCTTGTTATCTTATCCTATATTGTACACGAATATTAAAAGGATGGAGAGCGACAGTAACACAACCATGGTTCAGACCTACGTAACAACAATTGAAAAAAAAAAAACTCTTTTGCAATAATATTGAAAGTTTAATGGGGAATTCAATTAAAAAATATTTCTTACAAGTATTAAATTCATGAAAATATTTTAAAATTAAATAATTGTTCGATACCTCCATAATTTGTTGCTATTGAAATTAGAATTTTATATTATTCAATATATTATAAATATAAGTTTAGTCTGATAATTATTTTATTACTTTTAAATTATTATACAGTGTCACATATTAAAATTTGTTTTTCAAATTTAAGAGTATTTAAGTGAGTTATACTATTTCTTTTTTTCCATTTTTCTTGCATACCATATGAAGAAAAATTTTATTTTTGAATGTGTATTTCCTTTTATAGTAATTTTGTCTCTTTCAAATGGAGTGTCGCTGTATCAAATACCCATTAAGAAACGTAATGTACAGCTGTATGGTGTACATTATGGGTGAACTGTAGCTACTTCCTACTCTTATTATTCAGGCATTCATTACACCGTATTTAGTCATCCTTCTTTCAAACTGCATATTCACCTTTAATCTTAATTCCTGAATCCACACAGTTTAAGGGTATTGTAGAATGCAAGAGTATGATAATAAACATTCATATGATTATATTTTAAGTTATTTTTATAAATTTTGTTTTAAAAATAACTTTTATAAAAAATTATATGTCACACTTTAATATCTGGACAATTATTTAATATTCTAATTAAAAACATATTGATATGAAAAGTTATTTTTTATTTTAAGAATTTAAGATTTATATAAAATTGAAAGTCTTGTACGAAACTCAATTCTTAATTTGAAGATCTCATTATATTCTTGCGAATAGTGGTCACCTTAAGATATTTGAATAAGTTTGTGTAATGATTAGATGGTTATTTTTAATTTAAAATCAATAAATAATAAAGAAAAGGTCATATTTTTATTTAGAAAATATTATAGTTGTTTTATTTTTAAAAAATCATAAAACATGTATAGTTTTTAATTATATTATATATTTGCAGGTGTGAAGAAAAGATTTATTTTACTTTATATATATATATATATATATATATATATATATATATATATATTATTTTTATTTTTTTGACAATTGATAAAATTATTTTCAAGGTAACTGAATTTTTATCTCAAAATGTCAGTTTATTACTTTGTCAAGGCAAAAGCTTTGACTTATATCCATACAATTCTTTTTCCTAATTGAAATCCAAAAATGTTTATATTGGGATTTAACATTAAAGCAATTTTTTATAATCAAAAGTATGAAAAATATATTAAGAAAAAAATTCAGAAAAGAAAGAACATAATTAGAATATTTTTAACACTGTATCTAAGAATGCAATAATTCGTTTCTATTTGCCTCTTGGTTTTAAAGAATGTCTTTTGGTCACTACTTGGGAAACTTTAGTATAACTGAGAAAGTTTGTTGAGAACCCAAACACTGAAATACAATTAATTATATTAATATAATATTAAAATTTATTATTATATTAATATTTTGGGTTGTTGATGAATATTGGAATTGTCAACATGCTCTTGCTATAATATGATATTATAAGATGACATTTTTATTATTTTATAGAAGTTTTAAAGTAAATATATTTAATATCTTAAAAATATTTAACATATAGTCAGTACTTAATATTCAAAAGCAATAGAAGGATCTATGAGTGTATATTGTAAAAGCAAATAGAATTGGTCATTTTGAGTTCAGGATCTCTTATATATGTTGCTAAAACTAATTCTCTTTAAGTATTTTTGGCAAGAATACGAAAAATAATGTTTCCATTTTTCTTTATCATTAATGGACTTAGGTGTTGCCCTCTTTATCAACATCATAATGGGATTGTGACTTTATGTTGAATTATTCATCCCGCTCTTCATCTTTTATACTAGTATGTGATGTCAGTTCAAGTTAACTTTTCTGTTACTGAATGACTATTTCATTGATTTATATGGCAGACCAATCCTTGTTTAAGACCTACATGATAGTCTAGATTAAAAAGCATGCAACAGGTATAAAAATTTAAAAAAGACTAAAATATTTAAAATGGATGAATTTTATATATAACTTTAAAGCTGAAATTGAATTAAAAAAACACAAAAAAAAAATAAATGATGCAGAAGATAAAAAACAGGAGTATGAGTGTATAGGGAAATGAAGCACCTGCAATAAAACAGGAGGAGAAAAGGATAGTTCTGGACCAATGACTTGGTGAGAGACAAGCGACTTGTAGAGGGAAGAATTCTTGGTGGCAAGGCACTCATCTAGGGTTTTGCTGCACTTGGCCTCAATGAATCTTGCTCCACAATCATTGCACTTGATGAAGGGTCTTCCAGAATCTGATCTCCGGAACCTCCCACAGGTGATGAAGTAAGGGTTGAACCAAGTGAACATGGCATCCTTTATTTTCATGATGGTTAGGCCTTCTGCAGCCTCACTATCAAAGAAGTACACCACTCTGAGGTAGTGAAGTTTCATGGCCAAGTCCAACCCACTTGGGTTGTGGAAAACGTCCGACCCGGTGGCCCGGCCGGGCCCGACTGATGATAGCCTCACATCATGCACTACACTCTCCTCTAAGACCATTTTGCTGGTTTGATAACAGAAATTGAAGAGAAAGTTGTTTTGCTTATTGGGGAATTTGCTCTTGGCTTAAACTAAGAGAAAGATCACAAAGGAAAAGGAGGGTTTGGTTTTTGTTGTTGTTTTGTTGAACCAAGTTAGTGTTTGCTGAGTTCATATATAGATGGATGGAGTGATGGAGTGGTGTCATGGGTGGGGGACCATCCAATCCAATGACTGGTTGCAGAATTAATGAAAACTTATTGTGCGTTTCACTCCCATTGGTTCGTACAAAAATAAACAGTTAGAAACACTATTTCATAATAACTTCACAATTATTAACAACATCCATTAACAGAGATGAAGAAGAATCGTGAAAATGATATGGGAGTAAGATAATACCCAGTAGTTTATTAGAATCCACTTAAAGTAAAAACAATGAATATCTCTCAAGTTGATTAGTTAGGCTCTACAGTTAGTATATAATACCCAGTAGTTTTCAAACATTTTAATTTTTTCAATTAGGAAAAATATATCGACACCCAACATCTTTTCAACCACTCCATTTAATAATATAATATGAATTTTTAATTAAATTCTTTTTATAATTATAATAATAATAAATTAAATTGTCTAATGGATGTTTGTGCTGCGATAATTATCAATATATCATCTCTTTCAAATAGTATCATGATATTTTGACACCCATTAAATTTTCAAATATGTTTTTAACAATTAACAAATTATTTTTATATTATTATTTATTCTATTAATAAAAAATTTAATTATTTTAAGATTGTCATTTATATATTTATAAAAAATAAATTTCATTGTATCTTTTTCCTTTTATGGTAATGATTTCTATGCATATTTATTATGAATGCAAATTACTTATATCAATCCAACTCTTACTTACGTTAAAATAAAGTTTGAAAATGTATTTTAATTAGATAAAGTTAGGACAATAAAATGTGTCAGTTGGGGACTGATTCGTCACCTCGTCTAATAAAATTGATGAGACAGGTAAGCTATTTTAGTTCGTCAATAAGTTTTGTCTGTTCCGTCTAATTCTAAATTCGATGGACCATAGAATGGTGAAACATACTTACCCATTTTAAAAAATATTTAAAAATTAAATTAAAATAAAAATTATAATTAAAATATTATATTTTTATGTTATAATTTAAATTATTAATTATAATTAATTATTTTAACATATAAATATAATAATTTTTTTATTTATCTAATAAAAATATTAATTAATAAATAAAAACTTAAAAATATTCGTCACATGTGCACTCCTACTCAATGTGTACTACCACTAATTCGTGTAATATATTTTTATTATCTATCTAGTTCGGACATTCCATAGTTGCATTCCAAGAAATCCAACTTGTTTATATATCTCAATCTTCACCCCTCATTTTTATAGGTACCGTAACATATACATGATTTATTCATTATATACAATATAGGTTACCGGAACTAGGATTGGAAAACGTGTTACTTCCGTTTGTTTTGGCCTATTCTGTTTGTTTAGGTCTGCCAAATTACATCAAATAAGTAATATGGATGGGAGGTTCTTATCTATCTTCCATTTTGGTGGATTAGGGTGTTTTTGCTTTGAGGTTAATAAATCCTCTTTTCACATTTGCTTTTCACGTAAGCTAATATCTTTTTCCTCATGAATTTTGTGATATTTGATCTTCTCGGATAAGAGATAGTGCTAGCAAAAGTACAGACACTCAAATCATATTAAATTAGTATAATATAATAATATAACAAACATATAATCAATGAATAATTTATATATTAGAATTTATATTGTTTATATTATTTTTAATAGATTTATCCAAAAAGCTTTTGTAAAAGGTTAACCATTTTTTATTTTTTTGCATTTTTAAAATTTATAATATTTATTATATAACGAAAATATTTTCTATAATAATGAGTATCATGATAACATACATAATCATATAATAATTAGCATTAAAATAAGTACATTTTATTATATGAAAATATTTTGGTAGGAGATCTATTAATATAATTACTTTATTTTTTATCTTTTACTTCTCTATTATCTCTATATCCTTCTTTTCTTATACTCATTTAAACATCAGAGTGTTTTTGCCGGTAGGTATCCCTTTTTTTTCCATTTTCAATAGAGTTTGATCCAATAAATTCTAAAATGACTTGAGTTTATTTATTATTGTTATTTTTTTTTAAGAATATTTGGTACCCAATATGGAGAAAAAGTAAAACTTTTCTTATCTACGTAAATCATGAGCCTTGATTTTTTATATCATATTCTCAAATTCTCAAGGAATTAAGAATAATAATTCTTATAAGAGAATGAATATATATTCCAATTTATATTTTTAAGCTAATATTAAAATGATGATGATTTTTTATATATCCTATGAAACCTCTAAATGGAGGAAATGAAAATTTATTAAGGTAGAAAGAAATTAGTTTTCTCTATTATTTAATCTTAAACAATTTTTAATACTTTTTTTTAAATATGTTATAATGACAGAAATGAGATATAAAGACCAAAATTGTAAAGAATCTTCACTCTCGGAAAAAGGTCAAAACGTATATGTACTAGTTGCAATTATGAATAGTTCTCATAAGATTGCTAATATTTTTTTATATACAGATTATTGATCCTAGAAATGTCATCAAAATTAAACTATCTAAAAAATATATTTTTTATGATAAATGGAAACAAAAATCCAAATTATAGGCATAACAACTGGGTGGGGCGGGAGCATGTTTTGCCTCCCGATCCTCGCCGGAGTTAGAAATTAAGTCTCCATCCCTCGTCCTCGCTGGGTTTCGGTTCTCCGCCCCGTCCCATATCCCCGATCTATATTATTTTTAAAAAGATAATTACATTTATAATAAATTAATTTTACTATGTATATTTTATATATAAATAAATATTTATAATTTATAATTATTATTAATTAAATATATTTTTTAAGTTATTATAATTATATTAAAATATGTATGTAAAAGAAATATTTAATCATTTTTTATTTATATATAGAATATTTATAACATTATTATTATTATTATAACACTGTATTCAAATATTTGAATATTTATAATAATAATAATGTTATTATTATTATTATTATTATTATTATTATTATTATTATAATACTGTATTCAAATATTTGATTACATATATAAGTTAATTCATTTTTAAGTTGTCATTTAAAAATATGAAATATATAATTTATAAGGAAATATTTAATAAGTTAATTCTTATTTAATTAGTTCGAAGTAATAAAAGTTTAAATTATCAATTCTTTTAATCATTTAAAATATAATTATTTTATTAAGATAAAATTTGATATACGATAAATAAGAATAATAAGATAAAAAATATGATATAATAAAACATAATAAATATAAATTATAAATAAAATAATATTAGGTACTATTAAGATTTATGTAAAATATTTAGAAAAAGATAAAGAAAAAACAATTAACTTTGTGTTTATCAGATTAGTTGAAAAGATTAAAAAAAAACAAATTGATGAGAGAGATTAAGAAAATGTGAAAAACTGAAAGGTAAGAGAGAGAATAATATAATAAATTAATTAATTTAAAAGATTAAAAAAGACAAAAAAATTCAAAAGTAGGTAGAAGAAAAATAAAAATGGTGAAATATAAAAAAATGACCTTATATGTAATAGAAAAAGAAAAATGAAATACTTTTAAAATATTAATATTTTAAATTTTAAATTTAAATATAAAGTCGGGGCGGGAAGGGGTCGGGGCGGGGTGGGGATTGTATTATCCATCTCCGCCTCCGCCCTCGACTTTTTAAAGCGGGAAAAACCCGCCCCACCCCTACCCCTAGTCAACTCGGGTTTTTTCAGTCAAACTCGGGGCGAGGACGGGTCGGTCCCCATAGGTACGGATTTTATTGTCATCCCTAATTTGAAACTTACTTGTACTTGAAATATTGACTCTATCTTGGTTGTTGAAAGAATTAATGGTTGAGTTCAAGAGGGGGGGTGAATTGAACTTTAAAACTTTTTCACAAAACTTACTTTCTTTTGGAAGAATGAGTTATCTTTATTCAATCTTTGCAAAGGTAATTTGGTTTAAACACAGCACAATTAAAGACAGAAAATAAAAGAGATGAAAGAAGAATATTAACACACAAATTTATACTGGTTCACTCTAATCCAGAGCTACATCCAGTTCTTGACAAACCAGTCAAGTTCCACTAATATCAAGTGAAAATTACAACCAGTAGATACTCACCAATCTACCCCAAGAACTATCTTGCAAAACCCACAAGACAGAATCTTGAAAACCACCCAGTAACCAAATCTAGTTACTGTACCAAGTGCAGATTACAATCCAACCTGCACAATCAAACTTTTACAAAAGAATATGGAAAGAAAAAACCTGGACTTGAAGTTTCTAATTGTCCAGAACCAATTCTAATAGCACTTTCTCTCTTTGAATGACCACAATTCTGATCACAGCACCTTATGATATGAAAAAGATTCTTGAATGCAGAGAAAGTCACGTATGAAAGTTTCACAGATTGATTTCACAAGTTTTCTCAAGTAGTGTGTTGTATTGTATTTTTAAAAGATAGATCAATTCTGTATATATAGAGTAAATCATAGAATCAAACTGTTCCAACTGTCAAAAACTGTTTCAGAGAGTCAAAAGATCGATTAGTTTAAAGTAAAACAGTTTAGAAGAGACTCTAATCGATTAGAACTGAAGTATGATCGATCAGACCGAGTTATGATCGATTAGAATGAAACTATGATCGATCAGACCGAGTTATGATCGATCAAAATGAAACTATGATCGATCAGAATATTATTTCAATCGATTAAAATATCGATTCAATCGATTGATTTCATTTAAAGCTCCATTCAATCGATTAAAACATCGATTCAATCGATTGATTTCATTTAAAGCTCCATTCAATCGATTGATTCGAGTTTTTAATGAATTGAAACAGCTTTATGAAAAATGACAGT